CAGTGCTGCTTTGCTTTGAAAACACGGTACAAGGGCGCCCGGTGGCTCTGTCGGTTACGTGTCCGACTCTTGAGTTCCCCTCGGGAGTCCTGATGTCATGGTTCATAAGTTTGAGTCCTACGTTGCGCTCTGTGCTGAGAGTGCGGAGACGGCTGGGGACTCTCTCTCTCTCCTTCTCTCTGCTCCTTCCCGTGTGTGTGCGCTTGCTCTTTCTCTCTCAATTAAAAAGAAAAAACAAAACAAAACACTGTAGGTTTTGGTAGCAAGATTTGTACCCCCACGTTACAACAAAAACCAAGCAAGAGTGGAAGGATTTGGAAATATATGCAAAAACTAGAAAATCGATAGTGAACATGCAAAATATCAACTGCATTACTGTTAAGTCCTAATTTAAAGACAAAATCACTTGGCATCACAGCTAAGAGGAAGGACTAGCATGGTGACGTTTCAGTATGCCGTTTCTGTTTTCATGTCTCCCATCAAAGTGATGGCCAGCAAAGCAAGTGTCAGGTGACAGATAATTTAAGACCCTTCTGAGGTCTGTAAACAGGTATTCATAGATGTAGATCATTTCATCCCAAGAATATACAGTGTGTGTGTGCTCTCTGCTGAGGGATGTGACAGTACAGGCCTGCACTAGGTTACAGATTCAGGAGTGGCTACGGAGTCGTGAAAATTACAGAAACTTCTGGAACCTGAAGCTCTGCCATGGAAGCAGAATTGGAGAAGAGGGAAGAGCTTAGGCACCAGCTGATAATGGTGAAAATTCTCTCAGCTCCAAATCCTGTATTTTCTCTGAGGTGCAAGTGAGGATTCATTTTCTTAATCTTTGTAAGTTTAACATATCCCAGAGTAATATATTATTTTGATTTTCCAAAATACTCATTTTCCCAAAAGTTACAGTCTGTATGTTTGATGAATATAGTGTTTCCTAAGCTGAATTTTAAGCTTCAAAGATTATTTTTGTCTTTATTTGGCTATATACTAAAATGCTTAGGCTTTATAATTCTAAGCATGACATTAGCATATAAAATGCTGTTAAGTGAAATGGATAAAAACCGACAGAATCACCAATACAAAAAGAGAAAAATGAGATGCAGGGCAGATGGTCTCTTTATGTATCTGGGCAATGATTCTCCATAGAGAATGGGTTTTGTTCTGTGCAAATCAGGTTAAGATTTAGGCCAGTTACGAATGAATGAGCTTTCAAAGGGACTTAACTGATATAGGTCAAGTACCAGAAGAGGCAGAGGTTGAGGCAGCATCTGTGTAAGCAGGACGGGGGGGGGCATATTGGAAAAGATAATCAAAATTTCACATAATGCCCTCTTATCCTTAAAAATAGAGTGTGTGTTGTAAATTTTTCCAGGTAGGAAAAAGTATTTTTGTTTCTCTCTGTCCTAACACCATCCACAACATGTAGTAGAAGCTAAAAAGCTGTGTTTTTTTTGTTGTTTTTTTTTTTGTTTTGTCTGGTTCATCTGAGAATTGGTAGGGAGTAAAAAAAAATGATTTGTATATGTAGCCCAAAGAATTAGAGATATGTGGATAAATGCTTTATATTTGAATTATTTCATGTACCGTTGAGTCCTTTCAACATCCTATTAGGTGGACAAGTACCCTTGAGAAATAGAGAAACTGGTGCTCAGAGAGGCCAGGTACTCCAGAGCCCGAAGCCGATTCCTTTTCCATCGTCCGGTGTCTTCTCTTCTGAAAGCAACAAAAGAACACAGTGCCCTGGTGCCAGTGTTCATGTGGCAGACCTTTCTCCGGCTGACTGTCTATGGCTCCTTACCACGGTGCAGCCTCCCTAGGTTTCCCATTCTCCATGTGTCAAATTCTAGAATGAGTCCAGCTTTTCCCGTTAAGTCTCATTTCAAGTCTAAGAAGTAATCATTAGTGGAATAAAATTGTATATCAACTCAAAAAGCACATTAATCCAAAATTGGAATTGGAAATTCCATGAACTCATGATATTTCTCTTTAGAAAATAGGTGCTTCTAAGCCCCTATCACAGAATAATCCTAGAGGGGGGTGAGAAGGCGTTCCCATGTCACAATCCCTGCCGCCACTTCCCATTAAAGGAATCTCAAGGATCCTCACAATCACGACTCATCGAATTTCTGAGACAGCAGATGTACAAGATGGGCTATCACCCACTGACATACCAGAAAGCAAGAAAGCTGAAGATGACCTGACACATAGCAAAAAAACAAACAATAAATACTCAAGAGCCAATTTCAAGAACTCCCCCTGTGCAGAGATTGACAGTTTTAGTAGCAATGCGATAATAACGGCACCAATGGAAACCCACCAGGGATGCTGAAATCCACCAATTCGCCGTAATACTTTTAAGGAAGGAGGAGGTCATTAATCACCTTTACAGCATACTAGGGAACAAATTTACTTGGAAAACACATAAATAGAGGGAACTTAGGGGCATTTCTTCGGCCTTTTCTAAGTGAATGATGCCTCATGATGATCCAAAGATTGGTAATGGGAGTTTCTCCTTGTACATCCCTGTCTGCCTAGAAGTGAAGAAGGGTTAGTGGAATTAGATTCCTGTTGTGTGATTCTGGTGTGATAGAATCTCGTGGCTCCTCATCTAAAGAGAGACCCAAATACTGCGTGCCTACTTGTGAAAGCATACAGTGCCACCTTTGCAGGGTTTGTGCCAAAAATTCAATCTGAATCCAAACTCACCTCTGGATCCAGTTCCCAGGAATCCAGGGAATGGAAGAACGTGATGCCATGGGAATGGAACCAACCAGGGTGTGGTTTCTTCAGCAAATAAACTTCAAGGAAAACAGGAGGAAAACCTATAAATTTAGGAGAACTAAGAGACCTATCAACAAACTGCAGCATGTGGGCTTTATTTGAATTATGGTTCCAGCAACAACAAAAACTTAGAACTAGGTGGATAATGGAGAGAAGAGGACATTAAGGAAGTACTGTTGGGAGAGGATCTGAGATGGTGACATGGGAAAAGACCCTGACTCCCCTCCTTCACAGACACGCATGGAGTCAACACCGATGCACCGGGCCAACCGAGCAACGTCTCTGCAGGACAGAGGATAGAAGGACCATGGAGAGAAGAGCAGTCCCCACTGCCATCCACACCTGGAGGGCCGGCCCTGAGAGATGCTGAACAGATTGGTCTACCCTGGGACACAGGAACGAGAGCCGTCATTTGATAGGGCAGCTATGGTTTAAAGGATCCAGGCCTGCAGTGTCTGCCTAATAGCAGGAGATGCGTGGACCTCTCTTGTGGATTGGGGGGAGGGGAGCTGGCTGGAGCCACTGTAACGTTCCCCTTCCACATTGACAGCGCAGATGGGCACAGGCTATGGGGGCCCTGGCTAGCCAGCTGCTGTATCGAGTCCCAGATCCCCAGCCTCCACCAGCCCCAGCCGTCCCAAGATGGCCCTACCATGGCACACAGCAGGACATGCTCTGACAACACCCATCATGGCTCCAGATGTCTTGCCAGGGTGACGCAGGTACCCACTTCAGCTCCGCATGACTCAGCAGGCAACCCTTGTGTGAGACACCCTGGGGTCTTCCAGCCCCTCCCTGCTTCAGCAGCACCTGCCCTGCCAGGAGCCCCCAGCCAGGTTACCTTCAGCTCCCACCGTCCCATCAGGGGGATACTGGTGAGAGATGCCCCAGGACCCCAGGCTACAGTCCACCTCCACATAGTCCACCAGAGCCATGCAGTCTACTGGGTACATGCAGTCTACCCACGGACCATGCCCACAGGGGCCTTTCTTTGAAGACTTCTAAAAGCTTTCCATGTAACCCATAGGAAGTCAGACAAAATGAGGCGACAGAGGAATACATTTCAAATGAAAGAAGACATATCTGCAAGAAGAACTAAACAAATAATCACAAAGCTGGTGTGAAGGTTCAAAGAGCTAGTAAACTCAATCACATATAGAAAATTAAGGGACTCACAAAATAGATGAAACAGCGCGTGTCCTTTGGGAGTGCACGTGAACCGGAGCGACCATCAAGCTGATACAGAACGCTCTCTGCATGTGTTGTTTCAACCCAGAATGTGGATCGTGTGACTCATTGATGAGACCCGGAAGATGAATGCGATGCCACCGCAGCCCCCCTCTCAGCTTCAGCGCCTGTCCCTGCACAGAATCCAGGTCCAGCCACGGTGCCACGTTCAGGTACCTTTTTCGTCTGGGCCCGTGGGGGTCCCCCTCTCAGCCTTGGCTCTCTGGTGACTTTCCCCCATGCCGGGCAGGAGGGCACGTTTGCCACAGGTGGACTTCTGGAGATGGTGGGCCTCAGGGCCATAGCAGCCCCACAGTGTGAGGGGCTCACCGTGATGCTTTCCAAGTGATGACATCCCTTCATCATCTCGTTTCCATGGCCGAGACCAGAGAGCCCAGATGGCAGTATGTTTAGGGAGTTCTCCATCTCACAGTCACCGGAGACCAAAATCTATAGTAAAAAGACGAAACACACACCAAGGAAGAACTCCAGCCTAACACTAAAGAATGCTGTCAGTCCCGCAAGAGGACAGCCCTGGGGGCAACAGAGAATGACAAAAACAACCAGCACACAATTAACAAAATGGCAGTAATCTGGGCCCCTGGGTGGCTGATTTGATTGAATGTCCAGTTCATGCGTTCAAACCCTACATCGGGCTCAGTGCCAACAACCTGGCCCCTGCTCGGGATTCTCCCCCGAGCCCACCCCCGCCTTCACCTCTGCCCCTCCCCTGCTCTCGCTCTCTCTCTGCCCCTCCCTCACTTACTACCCTTGCCCTGCTCATGCTGCTCTCTAAATAAGTCAACCAATTTAAAAATAAAAGCACATTTGTAAATGATTGTTACAGCTGGATCATGGGGTTTATGATGCTAGTGTTAAAACATTTCCTAATATATTAAATCTTATTATTTGGGAGAGTTTTCTTTGCTTCTCTACTGCTCTGCTTCAAAATAGTGTATTGCCATATTTTAAAACAAAGTCATTCTTTTTTGCAGGGTGCATACGGTCCCTATTCCCCTGATGAGTGCATATCTTTGCCTGTTTACACGAGTGCTGAGAGGGATCGTGTGGTGACCAACATTGACGTTCCGTGTGGGGGCAGCCCGGACCGGTGGATTCAGTGTGGAGCTGCTTTGTTTCTAAAAAATCAGTAGAGTCTAACGACAGTAAAAGCTGTATTAGCAAAAAAAGAAACATTTGCTACTTTAAACTTTGAATAAATATGTGGCCAGTCTGCATTTAAAATGTTCAAAAAATTATCACATAGCTAAGTACCTTATGTTACTGATCTCCTTGGGTTGTGTAGTGGGTCATGACAGACCATGCAACTTTCAAGCGATAGTTTAATGGAGTTAACGTTAAATGGAGTATTCCCTTCATAACATTAAATATTTTTGTGAAGCAGTTCAGGTTTCCAGGGGCTCAAAAATTTATGTACGTAAGAGGTTGAAAATGGTGTACTTAAGGAATCAGTAATTAATTCTTTGGCTGTTTTTTGTATCCTAATTTGTGTTAATAAAATAGAAGACCAGTTTTTCATTTAAACACTTAAAAATATATTCTGTTTTAGTTAAAATACACAGCATCTCGGAGTAATCCAGAAGAAATGGGGCACGACGGCACAGAGGGCAGGAGGAAAATTTTACAAATGGACTAAACAATGAGAAGTTACAATTTCTCACGTATGTGGCCGTTTGCCAGCTGTTTCTATGAAACAGGAAAATTCTACAATGTCTGGAAGCTTAAATAAATATATTTTATGGTGTAATCTTTGAGTTTCTGAGTGATTTGAATTGAATTCAGAAATGTTAACTACTTTTAATTCTATCACCGTGTGTATGGTCAGATCAGGAGAACAGCCCCAGGATGTCAACAGTGAGCTCACTCTAAAGGACGAAGGGAGACGAGGACTGTGAAGGTGGAAGCGCCACGGCTGTGGCTGGGCTGCAGGGAGCCCCCGGGCAGAGCCAAGCCCACACGGCGGCCGGGCCTCCCAGAGCCTGGCTCCCACCTGCTGGAGGAGGTCTGCCCGCCCGGGGGGGGGGGGTGTCATCCAGGGGTTTCCGGTTTCCTGTGACTGCTGCAGCAGGGACCCTTTGGGCGAGCCCCCCTGGCGCCCCTAGAAGCACCCTCTCTAACAGAGAAGCAGGAGGAGACTTCCCACTCTTCCATGGTGTTGGAGATCCCAGCCAGCACAACACAGAGGTGAAGGGGCAAAGGCACCCGGAGGAAAGTGCGTTTGGCGAGAAGATGGTGGGCCGCAAGCACCTCCTGCCACCAGCCCTGCAAACACATGCACACAGAAATCAGTTTCAAGAGCAGAAACTGAACCTGCCTTAACGTGTTTCCAACCAAATGTTGTTCAGAGGTTTGATTTTTCTGAGGCTTTCTACTGTCCTTCCAGAAACAGGTGTGGGGATGGAAGTGAGAAAATGCAACAGACAGACCCCTGCAGTCACCCCCCATGGCTTCTCCCATTTGACCCGCATGAGCCTCATTCAGTGTGGTCGGCATGACGTGTGGGCTCTGTGTTTCCCATCCTCCTCCTCGGGAAAGTGTGCCCACAGACGAGTCCTGGGAGGAAGGCTGTGCGAGGCCCTGGGGACACGGCCCTGGGGACGCAGAGCCACACTCCGAAGCACCTGAAACCCAGAAGATCAGCCCTTGGGCTCCTCGTCATGTCGGCATCGGGGAGCAGGAAGTGCACGGTCCATGCCCTGGTTTCTGCCACTTGCTTACGTCCAAACTCAACACACGTTTATTCAGTCAATGGCTAAAGCTGCTTCCGGACAGCTTAACCGTCAGATCTGTCTCCGGATTGTTTTAGATCGTGCCCCCAAATCAAAACCATCCTCAGAGACTGTTGTCCATTGCTAGAGACAGCTGAACACTCTCCAGAATTCCCAAGGACATCACAGAGATTCCTTCCAAAACATCTGAGTCACTTAGGGCAGCATCATTGTCCCTGTGTGATCGCTGTGAAAACACAACCACTTTCCCTGTAGCCCTTGAATAAAAAAACTTTGGAAATTAAAAGGATGTTGGAGATGGTCTGGTTGAATTTTTATCTTATTCTTACTTTATCGTCATACCTTCCTAAATGCTTCACCGACCCTTGCACAGTAGGAGGGAAATTAATTCTCAAAGTTTCATGAAAGAGATGAATTTTGTGCTGGACAATCACGATTCTACATTATAAGGAGCAGAGCATATTCCTGCGAGGGTCCAGAAGCTCCAGCCAGTTCCCTGCCTTAGTGTGTCGGGAGCCTTTCCAGATGGCAAGACTGAAAACTTCCCAGTGGATAAATGAACATACTCAAATACTTAAGTGGTTGCTGTAAAGACAAGAAAAACCCAAGCAGAGGGGGTTGGGGAGGAGAGCCTGTGGGGAGGAGAGTCAAGGCCTCATAGCTATTCCCTACATGGAGACACGCCGGTCAATGTTTGGTGTTCACAAAATGGAAGAATGAGTATCAACCAGAGTATTATGCTGCAACCATTACCCATTCTGATTATTCTGTGCCTGATTGGTCTTCTCCTCTTTTCCAGTTCCTGAGAACTACCGCTAAAGGGATCAAGTCAATAGAGGAAGGCCCAAAGGTAAAAGCAGAGATAAGGAATTTGCTAGGATTCAGCACCGTGGGTGGATGATCTTTCCTTTCTCCTCATTTTTAAAAAATTTTTTTTTCAACGTTTATTTATTTTTGGGACAGAGAGAGACAGAGCACGAACGGGGGAGGGGCAGAGAGAGAGGGAGACACAGAATCGGAAACAGGCTCCAGGCTCTGAGCCATCAGCCCAGAGCCCGACGCGGGGCTCGAACTCACGGACCGCGAGATCGTGACCTGGCTGAAGTCGGACGCTTAACCGACTGCGCCACCCAGGCGCCCCTCTCCTCATTTTTAGAGGTGACTTAGGTACTGGTTAGCACGGTGGGGTAAAGAAGAAAGTGTTGACAGGAAAGCCAAAAGGTAATGAAGACCCCAACTTAATCAAATATTATATTTAGGCTGTTGTCTGATCCCATTATCTTTCTCTGGCTTATTTAAAAAAGCCAACGACACCAGTGTGAGTTTGGAGGTTGCCTTTATTTCTACTTGAAATAACCCATAGTTATGAAAACGGGGTTTGTTTCAACAAGAGCAGACTCTGCTATGGTGGTAACGTTCTGGACGATGCTGCTAACTGGTCTGTACTTTTATTTCTTATTCATTTTTTTTACAAATAGACTCTTTAATGATTATTTTAGAGACAGAGAGAGACAGAGCATGAGCAGGAGTGGGGCAGAGAGGGAGACACAGAATCCGAAGCAGGCTCCAGACTCTGAGTTGTCAGCACAGAGCCTGACATGGGGCTCAGACTCACGAACCTTGAGATCATGACCTGAGCCGAAGCCGGACGCCCAACCGACTGAGCCACCGGGTGTCCCACTGGTATGTACTCCTAAGGTTGCTTCCCTGCATAGAAGGCATGACTGGCTGTGAGTCAGACACTACTGTGCATCTCCCGGTTTTCACTCTCCCTGTTGCCAGAACACCATAGTGTTTACCTGGGCTGGTGGGCACTCAGAACAAAGCTATAACCCTTCTCTGCCTTCTACTCGAGTGGAACCTGGTGACTCACTTTGGGCCAAAATGCTGAATGCAGATATGATATGGTAGCTTCCTCACAGGGCATGGCTGATATGCCATTTCCTCTCCTCCGCTGCCCGGATAGAGACACTGTGACCTTGGGCCACGTGTTTGCAGCCACACAGGATGGAGACACTGGAAGAAGCTGGGACTCGGGGGGGGGGGGGGGGGGCATAGATGCCCTGGAGCATTTAGCTGTGGACTTCGTTTATGCAAGAGAGATTCAGCACCCCTAGAGGAGAATGTTGTGCTCTCATAGTTCAAACAAAACACTAGTTTTTAAAAATCAAAACCATTTAGAGATAAAATGTAAACCTAAAAATTACAACGTGTCAAGTTAGCCTTTCACATTCTGAACTAATTCCGTTCCGATTTCCTTTATCTGCAAACTTTCTAGTCTGTTTGTAACATATGTTATTACGGAAGAATTTACTCAACTTTTTATAACCTCAACTAAGAGTTGGTTGGGATTTGACTGTAATTTGCACTTGATTAGATTATTTTAGAGAAAAGCAAAAATAGCATTGTGCCTTGGCAGACAGCTACAACAGACATGCAATACCCACGTTTAAGATCGCTACACAGGAGGGAAGTGGTTGGTCAATGGAACTTTCACCGAAGCCAGCTTCCAGCCATGCGTTTAACTGCAGAGTGGCTAGAATCCCAACCTATAGGGCCAGGCTCCCAGTCTTTACTTGCCCTGTCACTTCTACCAAAACCCTGATGCCTCAGAGCTTAGATTTTGTGTCTGTGAAATGTGGGCTGTTGTGCACGTCAGACGTCAGGAAGTCTGACTTAAATAGCCAGTGAACTGTCCTGTGAGAACACAGCAGGGACTAGAACTTAAATTCAAGGTACCATCTGTCTTCTTGGGACTGGATGTGAATTTAAAAACGCTAAGATAAAACATAAATCACAATTTTATACAAAACGCGAATTCACTGTTGAGAAAAGTTAAGCTGGGAACGATGTGATTGTAATATCTCCCACTTTTACATGATCTGATTTATGTGTGATTACACATCTAGTGTTAAAGGCCCACATCGTTTGCACAAGATGAACCACAGATGCCTGTCTTTCATAGAATTTTGTTCAAAACCCAGACTGTGTGTGATCACCACATAACAGCAGTGACACCTAAGTCTCAGTTAGTACTGACCACATGTGAGGCTCTGCTCCAGACAGACAGCCAGATGCTATATTCATGGTGATGCCTGTTTCACTAGCGACAACAATGACACAGTTCAGGTGAGTCACTCAGCTAGTAAACCCTAACACAGCAGAGAGGAAACCCTCAGTTTCCCCTCCGTGAGGAAGGAACAGCAAAGCTGGATCCTCCGGCATGTATCGTCCTGGAGGCAGGGCGCTGAAAGGAGGGAACCTGGGCCGATCAGTTCCTCATCTTGACAAATGTTTGCTACAGCAGTTTCTGGCAAGAAGATAAAATGAATCGACAGAGTCAGTCAAAATACTCATTACTGGACATGTTTTCATTGAAAAGTCACCTCTGAGATAAAACTCAG